GCGGTCGGCCACTGGGAGCTTACATGCAATCTTCAAGCCGCAGATCGGTAAGAGTTCGTACGTCAAGTATGCTTATGCAGATGATGAGACAGAACGAATAGACCAAACAGTGATTCCCGAGAAGACGAATTTTGCTTCTACATTCAGACACAAAAGCAGTTCCGTGGAAGTAAAATAAATATTATTTTATGTGTGCTTCCCTTAAATAAATGCTAGGCAAAAATTATTTTATCTGACCTTAAAACTGTTTTAATTCACTTATTGCTTTCTACATAGCCTTAGCGTGTGCTCAACCACTCTGTCCTCTGTGTATCTGAGGTTCGTGTCTGTGATGCGCATGTCCGACTAGCTCTTTTTTATGGACATTTTATAACACCCCAACCTTAGAACTTAGATTTCTTATCTTTCGTCCTTTAGACTAGATGTTTGCTATTTGCAGGACAGTTAAATTCGCCAACCGATATATCAGCTTATGCGTCTACTCCGTAGGTAGGTCGCGTTAACATGCCGGTTGTTTGCGTCTCAACCAACTTCGTTACAGAACCCAATTAAATGGTGTCTAATGTGGCTTAAGTATTCACAAACTCCGCCGCTTAAAAAGAATACTTAAGTGCTTGTGTTATTTACGGAATATTTTACGATAGCGCGGTTTCTTTTATCCTTGTTCTTCATAACTCGAGAACTGTTTGCCTCGGTCGTCCATTACCTCTTCGCAGACTTCCTGTGGTTTAGCCGTCGACAGTCATATGTTCCTCGCCCACTTCTTTAATAGCCTGATTTCCATATTCGTGCAACTATTTAGCAAACTCAAAACTTCCCGGGCACAATTTGACCTGAATGCTGTTCGGAGTAGGTCAGCGTGATTGTTCTTCTTTCAAACCCTGTAGCAGGTATTTCTTTGGAAGATCGAGCGCGTGCGACGTTTCAGCGCGTTGTTCCGATGTTTTGACTTTGTCGACAATAATGCGCATGCGATGTTTTCTGAGTGGGGATTCTGCACTCTTAGTTTTTGTGTATTTTCTTAATGTTCCATCTCTCGATTTCTGTGTCTATTCATGCCCTGCCCTAACTCCTTCAGCTTGTGCTTATAGCATTAGGCATGCATTCGTCTCGACTTTTTTCCCTTGAAACCTTTAAATCAGTGTATTGTTTTATCTTTGTGTCTGCGTATCACTAAATTAACTTGGATCCTCGTGTTCTGTAGACTTTCCCGCGTCTTCAGCCGAATCATGTCCATTCAGTCGATCCATGCTCGCCAAATCTTCGACAGCCGAGGCAACCCGACTGTAGAAGTCGACTTAAAGACTGCGAAGGGTATGTTTTATAACTTAATGTTCTATATGCATTGTGCGAAACAACATTGGCCTGGCTAATTTGTTTTACTCTGTGTCAGGTATGTTCCGCGCTGCCGTTCCCAGCGGTGCCTCTACTGGTGTTCATGAGGCCGTGGAATTGCGTGATGGCATTAAAGACCAATACATGGGCAAGGGAGTCTTGAAGGCAGTAGACAATGTCAATAAAGTTATTGCTCCCGCCCTAATTAAGGAGAACATTCCAGTAACGGAGCAAAAAAAGATCGACGAATTCATGATCAAACTGGATGGGACGGAAAACAAGGGTAAGCATTGTTTAATTTGCTCTCATTTCTAATGCTGCATTGTTGATATAGTGTTAAATAGCTCTGTAATTTTCCCTAGGCAAGCTTGGCGCGAACGCTATTCTCGGCGTGTCCCTCGCCGTCTGCAAGGCCGGTGCCGCTGAGAAGGCAAGTTTAAGTCTGTCCCGAAATTTCAATTTTTCTACTGCGTCCGAACCTCTTTTTATCTTGCTATCTTCGATACTCGTAGGGCGTCCCCCTCTACCGGTACATTGCTGATCTGGCAGGTAACGCAGAGGTCGTCTTGCCTGTACCTGCTTTCAACGTCCTGAACGGTGGAAGCCATGCTGGC